CATCGAGATGGAGACTGACTTAGCCAAGCGAGTGTGATGGTTGAGTCGGTCCAACAGTGACATTCGATACTCGGAAGTTGAAGAGCGGACCGCACATAATTAACTAACCGAGCGAGAAGGAGCGCCGCCGACAATTCCAATCGGGGAACGCTTATCGTCTTGAGGGGAGCCACTTTCGATTTTGCGATGAGAAGAGAGATGTTAATTGAGCCGTCGACATTAACAACGCGAAGGTAAACAACGGCTGCGAAAGCCATAGTTGAGGCATCGGAAAAGCCATGGAGTGCGCTGTGCAGAGTATGAGATCCGTGCGTCGTCCAACGCGGAATACTGAGCGTCTCGAGATGCGGTAGTTGGTGATGATAAGTTGCCCAGTGGTCGAAATGTTCACCCGGAATGTCGTCGTCCCACTGACATTGGATCGACCACAATCGTTGCATAAAGATCTTTGCACCGATGATGACGGGAGCGGCCCATCCCATCGGATCGAAAAACCCAGCGATTGTCGAGAGAATAGCTCTTTTCGTTTTTCCCGGCGAAGACGGGAGAGATACGCGAAGTTGAAACGCATCGAGCTTTGGATTCCAACTAACTCCTAACACTTTAAGGTGTTCATCGTCTTGGAGGACTTTGTGAGTGGCTAGTCCATGATCGGCAGGATCGAGGTCTGACAAAAGATCTGGAGAATTACTTGCCCACTTTCGTAGGCGAAAGCCTCCTTTAGCGAGAAGCGCGATTAATTGGTCTCGTGTTTGCCGTGCAAGGATATGATCGTCGGCTCCGAACGCGCAATCATCAACGTATGTTTGATGACGTAGAACAGGGACGGCCAACGGAAATTGAGCACCGTCATCTTCAGCGAGTTGGTCTAGCACTCGAAGAGCGAGATACGGAGCGGCGGCAGTGCCGTACGTCACGGTAAGAAGACGGTAGTCGCGAACAGGTTCGCTGGGAGAAGAGCGCCATAGAATGCGCTGGTAATCAGTATCGCGGAAGTCAACTAAAATTTGACGATACATTTTGGCGATATCGGCGGTAAATACGTAACGATATTGGCGCCACTGCATTATGACAGCGGCCAAATCCTTTTGAAGTTTAGGTCCGATAAACATATTATCGTTTAACGAGGTTCCGTTAGTGGTACGGCAGGATGCATTAAAAACAACCCGCAGTCGAGTAGTTGCACTACTGTCACGTAAGACAGCATGATGCGGTATGTAATAACTTTGATCCGGTTGTACAATTTCTGTCGGTGGAATTTTGATCATATGACCAAGGTTTTCGTATTCCGTGAGAAAGTCGTGGTATTCTGAAGCGATAGATGGATTGCGTTTGAAACGTCGCTCTAAGCGATAGAGGCTCGATTCGGCAATGAAGCGAGATTCTCCTAACGAGAGTGGTGGTCCGGTTTTAAACGGTAATCTAACAATATAGCGTCCTTGAGGAGTGCGGGAATGGGTAGCGAGAAAGTGCTCTTCACACTTGCGCTCGTCAGGGCTATGGTGTTGGGTCTGAGGGACCTCTTCAGTCTCCCAGAAACGACGAAGGTCGAAATCTAACGCTTCAAGGACGACTCCGTGATGCGCGGTCTCAAAAATCGAAAGATTGGTCGGGGACGAAGCGATTGGCCCGGACAAAATCCAACCGAGAGTAGTATTTTGCGCGGTGGGCTCCGTTTCGGAACCTTGTCGAACACCATCGAGTACGAGCATGCCGTATAAATCCGCTCCGATTATCATATCAATCGGGTCGGTACTCATGGGGTCACTATCCGCTAATTGGAGTCCGTCGACATGGTTCCACGTACCCGTCGTGCTTATTCGATTCGGTACATATTTTGTCAACGATCGAAGAATGAGTGCGGTCGTTGAATAAGCGGGTTCGTCGCGATTCGCCGGCGTAATTGTAAGATGAGCGGCGTGACGGACAACGGATTGCATCTCGCTGATGCCGGTGACGAACATTGAACGATTTATTTTAGAGAGTCGTAAACGTTGCGCGAGCGATTCGGTAATAAACGTAGAAACGGAACCTTGATCCAGAAGTGCGCGTGCAGTTATAAAACGTCCAACAGGCGAATAGACTCTCACCCGGGCAGTCGCAAGCAAAATATTAGAATTAGGCGCGACGGTTTTCGATAGTAAATGCGACACGACTTCGTTTACATTTGCGCTTGTTGCTGGCGGTGACTCCGTTTGCACCGGCGGAGTCGAATTATCGAAATGTAATAACGTGTGATGACGTTTATTACACTGGCGGCATACGCGCGAATTCGAACAATCTTTGACGGAATGCTTACTACTAAAACAGTTTAAACATCGTTTTCGCTGCTTAATAAAATCGAAACGTTGAGAGGGTGTTTGCTTTAAAAATGTCGAACATTGGTATAATAAGTGATTGGCCTTGCACAACGGACATGCGAACGAAACGGTGGACGCGGTATGCGACACAAGAATTTTTCCTTTAGAGGTAGAGGATGGTTTTTCTTTAGAAAGTGGTACGATCGCCTCGAGAGCGCGAATTCGAGACTCAAGAAATTGATCGAGCTCATTATAACGCGGATATTCCACCGTATCGCCGAGCTTGAGTTCCCAAGCTTTACGCGAGTATTTATCGAGTTTTTGTGCGACGAGCAAAACAAGCAAATCATCCCAATGTTCGACAGGACGGTTGAGATTTCTAAGCGCTTGGATTGCTTTGTTTGTTTGGTCGCGAAGCTGACGAAGGTCATGAGCGGTTTCTGTGGTCAGTAACGGCAAATTTAACAGCGATTGTAAATGCGTTGTAACAAGACGACGTTTGTTGTCGTACCGAGAGACTAGAATTCTCCACGCGACGTCGAAATTATTATTGGTTACCGCGAGGTGGTCAAGCGCGTTACTTGCATCCCCTTTTACACATGAGCATAAATAATGTAAGCGATCGACATTTGACAAACTAGGATCATTATGAATCATCGATTGGAATTTATCGCGAAAGCTTTCCCACTTGTCGATGCTCCCGTCGAAGGTCGGTAGGTTGATCCTCGGAAGATGCGACGCGGGTCGGAAAACATCATGCAAGCCACTTACGTTTTGTGATGATGTAGCGGGAGGGATGCGGGATTCGTAGCTCTCTAATACCTCAGCCATGTAGTCGGCAGCCTCGTTGTAGCAGTCCTCACATTCCAGAAACGAATTCTTTGTGAAGTAGGTATGCGATGCTTTGTCGTCATCGTCCGCATGAAGCCCGATTCGACTGTCGAGCTCCTGGCAAGTGGCAAAGGCTTCCTTCAAGGTGACGAGACGTTGACGTGTCACCGCAGGTGTCATTTTGGCTTGCCCCAGCTTCTTGTAATTGATGAGCGCCCGTGATACGAAACTCATCTTCTGTGTTTGCAGAGCCAAAAGCTCTTCGAAAGATGTCGAGGTGTTCATATCGACGATCGTGATTCGGAATGCCAATAATTGTCCTTGGCGACGATCCGGCTCGAAGGACCAAAATGTTTTGTTTCTCGTTGGTAAAACCTTGTATAGAAGGTTCGCACGCCAAGGCGGTAGTTTTTGTTAATGGTCACTCGCGGATTCGTTTTAATATACTTTTATTCAAATCACAAATTATAACAAGAGTGTTAGAAACGAGGCGGACGATATTTCAACAAAAGGTGTATTGATCTATCTCGTCTCGTGGCTGGACGCTCAATAATGATCCGAGACACGTAGCCAAGGCGCGAAGCGAGAATTTTGGGGATTTGCGCAGGCGATTCGCGTCGAGCAAAGGAAAAGACAGGCGAGTAACACGTGGATCACATGTGTTTTTGACGTGTTGTCCCGCGTTGGCGCGAATAATTACTGAGATGTCGAACGATAATATAAACGGAGAATTGAACGACCTATACTTTAGGATTAGGCTTATTCCTGAACAATATTGAAAACAGCTTTTATTATATTTGTGAAGTTTATTGTTTATTGTTGATTTAATTAACAATTTAATAAAAGAATTTTTATATTAATATGAAATAAGGATTTTTATTGAAAACACATTTATATTTATAATTCACAAATAATATAATATATAAGGCCTTTAAAAGATAAATTTACATAATTCTTATTTAAATAGAATGTACAATAATTGAGACATTTATTGTGCTGCGAGTTGTCTACATATTTCATCTCTAAGTTCTCGTCCCTGTTGATTATCCTGCGGTATTGCATTATCTCCAACCATATTAATCAGTGCATTTACAGCATCAGGATCAGGTTGATTTTCATCGGGAGGTGGTTCAAATAACTGTAAATCATTAGCATTCGCCATATTGTGCAAAACACAACATGCATGCACAACCTGAACCATTCGAACAATGTCTCGTAACTTAAAATGGTACAATTGACGAAATCGCTGTTTCAGATTACCAAATGCATTTTCGATAATAACTCGACATGAACTCAATCTTTGGTTAAAATTGATTTGAGCTCGTGTCAAATGTCCGTTATCTCTATACGAAACAATCAACCGTTGTAAACAGGGATACGCACTATCTCCAAGCAAGTATCCATCTTCTGCAAATTAAAAAAATTGGTTCAGTAAAAGATTGTACACTAAGTCTCTTTACAATAGCATCCGAATATACATTTTGATATTATTTTAATCTAAAAAAAATTACGTCACAAACCTCCACAAAGTTCATTCAGTCTATTGTACACAGGCGATTCCCTGAAAACTCTTGCATCATGAACCGATCCAGAGTAACCGATAAACACATTCATAAACTTTTGTCCGTGGTTCACAATGCCTTGTAACTGAATGGAAAAAAATTGTTTCCTATTTATGTACAAATCTTTGTCTTCTATTGGTTTGTCGATTCGAATGTGCGATCCATCTATGGCACCTGTAATAATGAATTATTTAGTAATGAAATAATCGAAATTCTATATGTATGAAAATAGTACTTTTGAAATATACCTATTACTCCAGGAAATCTGTTTTGCATTTGTAGAAAATGTTCTTTAATGGCTTCTCTCTTGCATTGTAGGAAATCTGATGACATTTGGTGCAAGAGATATTAAAAAATTTGTGATCCGGGATATAACATTGTACAGCGCACTTATGGTAATCCCAAATTTATCTGCTACATCCCGATAGCCACTGCTTTCATGTCCAACGTACCAAAGAAAACTTATGATATGTTTCTCTGGAGAAATAGGCTCGTAGCCTGCATAAGCTGTGATAACATACATAGATATAATAAGATATTATATTCATAAAATTATGCAACTAAAATATGTTATTTATAAATAATATTAATGTATGTGGAACTCATAATTATGATATAATTAACCTTGTAATGCCAAAAAAATTTGAGATGCTGCAAAACGATTGATCAATTCATTGGTCACTTCTCGTGATAAGCGAAAGTGCATTATGAAATCACTCTCAGTGTATAAATGTACAACATTTTCAATATAATTTAAAATTTTTACGTGATGTACTCTTTAAACAACTCCTAATACTGGCTCTAATAATTGTCCAATGTCTTCATCTAAAAAACAATGTTTTGAGGTTAGATTACATAGGTTAAATTACTTTAAACAGTGGTTAAATGTACTCACATGTAGTAAGTAAAAAATTATTTAACTATCTTACCATTATTTGCAGCAAATAAAACAGGTGGTTCAGGAACAATCTCGTCAAAATCCTCTTCATCGGATGACAAATCAGATTCAGACTCCGACTCCAAAATGTGATTAAGAATTTCTACATTTAATTCATTCATCATTTTGTGATAATTGTAACAATATAACCAATAATAAATTTTAAACAATAAAATTCCACTTTTTTATTAAAACTTTAAATATGAACACTATGCACAAATAGCTGTCGTATTTATAAACACTTGATGTTACACTTCGGCGTTCTCGTTGAAAAGCTTACACTTTACACTGAATTTACACGACGTTACCCCCACTCTCAAAAATTGGACGGAGTAAAAGTGTACACTATACACTTTTCGTGTAAGCAAGAAGAACAAACCTATTGTTTAACAGAGCAATTGTACTTAAAAATATCTGCAAACATTTTTAAAAAGGATGGAGAGATGTAACAGAGCAATTGTACTTAAAATATCTGCAAAAAAAAAATGGAAGATGTAAACTAAAATGTGAAAAACAAGTTATTATAAATAACGTAACAAAAATTAAAAACCATCAAAACTTTTAGAATTATATACCAACTGCGAAATATTGAATCCGCAAAATATATAAAAAAAACTAAGATCGACAAATGTAAGTATTGAAGGCTTGATCGACTAATATAATTTGCTGACGGTTTCTTAACTACGGAAAGGCATTCCGCCGTCAGGCCATCGAGGCCATCGAGAGCCGGATCTGTCGGTGGGAGGTAATACTAAACACAAGCCAAGAAACTAACTATTATTTTTATTTTTATCGACAACAAGGGCTCTAAATCGAAGGATCGGGGGAAAATCTAGCCATATACATTCCCGTAAAAGTAGAACGTTCCATCTTGCACGGTTCAATTGTTATTAATTTTTTAATTTTCAAAATGTAATATTCGTTTTTAAGAATATTTGCAAACATAAATGGCTGTAACTCGGGCCTTCGGTGCGTGATGTCGTTGGCACTCGCGTTTGTGCAAAAGGATAAGCTTCTATCTCCAACAGTTCCTTTGTTATTAATTATTCAAATTATTTTTTCAAAAAGTAGTAACTATTTCTTTTTTGCTTTTTGTCGACATCAGGGATTCTAACTCGGAGAATCGGAGGACGGCCTCGCCATCTACGTTCCTGCGAAAGTAGAACGTTCCATCTTGCGCGGTTTATTTGTTATTAATTTTTTAATTTTTAAAATGTAATATTCTTTTTTAACAATATTTGCAGACATAAATGGCTGCAACTCGGGCCTTAGGTGCGTGATGTTAACACTCACGTTTGTACAAAAGGACAAGCCTCCATCTTCAACGGTTCTTTTGTTATTAATTATTCAAACTATTTTTCAAATACATATACATATACATGTAGCGACTTATGAATAAATTCACCAGATCTTTTAAGAAAGTAATGTTTATTCATTGAAAGTATAAAGCAAAGACAAAAAGAATTAATATATAACAAATAAATGAATGAATGTGTTGTTATGGAAATATTGATTTTTCTTAAAAACATTATGTTAATTAATGAATTGAAGTTATTACAAATGTATAAAGATGTAAAAAGTGTAAAAGTGCAGTGAAAAGTGTAAGGTGTAATAAAAGTGTAGAGTGTAAATAAAAGGTGTGGATGATAAATGCTACAGTACTCCCTCCCAAGTGACGATATTCGTTGCGAAATGGACTTTCTTCTTCTTTGGTGGGTAGGTACGTAGAGCTTTTCCAACAGTAGAAGAAGAAGAAGGAGGATTTGAAGTAGCAGAAACAGGAGCTGAAGTAGCAGGAACAGGAGCTGAAGATCTGGTAGAAAGTTCAGTAGAATCTGAAGTTCTAGGAATGAAGGCTGGCTTGAGACGTTCTGTCGAAATATTGACAACTCTTCCTGAAACGTTAACTGCAAATAAATGATCAGAGATACGTTTCTCAATAGGAAAAGGGCCAGAATAAGGAGGTTGTAGTGACTTCCTAACAGCATCTTCTCGAATCCAAACATGAGTACAATCAAAAAGATTCTTGTGAACGAAAGGTGATCTTTTGCAATGATGACTTGTAGGAGATGATCTGATATTCCTCATATGAATCCTGTGTTTTTCAAGAAAGATTTCAGGATCTGCAGGAAAATCTTCTTCAATGAAAAATTCTCCAGGAATACAAAGAGTGGATCCATAAAGAAGTTCTGCTGGTAAAGCTTTTAAATCTTCTTTGAAACACGAACGTAATCCCAAAAGAACTGAAGGTAACGATTCTATCCAGTTGGTTGTTTCGTGGCACATAATCGCTGCTTTCAAAGTTCTATGCCATCTTTCCAGAATTCCATTTGAAGCAGGATGATAAGCAGAAGTTCTAATTCTTTGACAGCCAATTAGGTTTGTTAAAGCTTTGAATAAAGCTGCTTCAAACTGAGGACCTTGATCTGTTGTAATGCTGATAGGAGAACCAAAACGTGCTACCCAATGTGAATAAAATGTTGTAGAAACAGTTTCAGCAGAAATCTCAGAAATAGGAACAGCTTCAGGCCATCTGAAAAACGATCAATCATAGTAAGACAATAACGGTAATTTTGACAAATAGGAAGTGGTCCAACAATGTCTAAATGCACATGCTGAAAGCGTTGATCAGGAATTGCAATCTTAATTGGAGAATTCTTGGTGTGTCTTGAAATCTTCGCACGTTGACATGGAAGACAAGTTCGAGTCCATTCCTTCACATCTTTCTTCAAAGAAGGCCAAATGAATTTCAGTAGTAATTGTTTAGATGTCAATCTGCCGCTGGGGTGAGCGAGTCCATGAACAACATCAAAAATTCTCTTGCGTAAGAGTTTAGGAACATATGGACGAATTAATTCCGAAGAACAATCACAATAAATAGGTATGGTTGATCCTGAAAGAATAAGTTTCTTCAACAGAAGTGAAGAATTTGAAGAAAGTAAAACTTGAAGTTCTTCATCTTCTTTCTGATAATTAGCAAGTTTTTCTAAAGAAACTATAATAGACATTGAAATAGATTCAATTCTTGACAGAGCATCAGCAACTGAATTCATTTTTCCAGAAATATAGGTAATATTTGTAGAGAATTGAGCAATAAAGTCCAATTGTCTGATCTGTCTTGGTGACGCTTTATCCAATTTCTGACGGAAAGCAAAAATCAAAGGTTTATGATCAGTTCTGATAATCAGTTGTCTTCCTTCAACAAAATGCCTGAAATGTTTAATAGCCAAATAAATGCTAAGAAGTTCTCTATCATAAGTGCTATAATTTCTTTGAGCTTTGTCTAGTTTCTTTGAGAAAAATGTTATTGGTTTGATATCGTCGTCAATAGACTGTTCAAGTGATGCACCAACAGCAAAGTCAGAAGCATCACAAGTTAAAATAAGAGGAGCATGAGGAGCAGGATGAGAAAGGGTAGTAACTTGTAAAAGTTCTTCTTTACATGACTCGAAAGCTAATTCCGCTTCTTTAGTCCAAGAAATAATTCTTCTATCCCTCTTGCGACTGTCCTTTAAATATTCTGTTAACAGAGCTTGATGATTTGCAGCATCCTTGAGACAGCGACGATAATAATTGATAATTCCTAAGAATCTGCGTAATTCATGAAGTGTCTTAGGTTTAGGATAATCAATAATTGATTTCACTTTTTCGGATGTAGGTTTAACTCCTTGGTTAGAAACTAAGTAACCAAGAAAAAAATCTCGCTTTGACCGAAAAGACATTTAGCGACATTGATTGTCATTCCAGTTTGTTGAAGACGATCAAAAATAATGCGTAAGTGAGCAATATGTTCTTTCTCGTCTTTAGAAGCGATAAGAATGTCATCAAGATAACAAAAGGCAAAACTCAAATCATTAAGTAAAGAGTTCATGAGCCGTTGAAAAGTTTGGGCTGCGTTTAGTAAACCGAAAGGCATTACGACAAATTCAAAAAGCCCAAATGGAGTAGTGACAGCTGTTTTGTGAATATCTTCTTTAGCGACGGGTACTTGATAGTACGCTTTAACTAAGTCGATTTTAGAAAAGATATTCTTACCAAAAAGTGAAAAAGAAAAATCTTGAATATGAGGTAAGGGATAACGATCCGGGATAGTCACTGAATTGAGTGCACGATAATCACCACACAGTCTCCAAGAATTTTGTTCCTTTTTAGGTACCATATGTAGAGGGGCTGCCCAGGAGCTGCTTGAAGGCCTGCAAATTCCTTGCTCCATCATAGATTTGAATTCTTCCTTGGCACATTTAAGTTTCTCAGGAGTAAGTCTTCTGGGAGTCGAAAATTTAGGAGAACCTTCCGTAAAGATATGATGCTCAACACCATGCGTTTTTACCGAGGAAATTGGAGAAAAACGGGTGAGTCCTGGAAATTCGGTTAAAAATTTATGGTACACAGAATCAGGAGATGTGGTAAAAATTGACAAATGCGCAACTTCTTGAATTTTTCCAGTATTCATAAGACCGGTAACGTTATCAATCAATTTCTTGTTTTTAATGTCAATCAGGAGATTAAAATGACAAAGGAAATCGGCGCCTAAAATAGGACGTTGAATATCCGCGACACAAAATTTCCATTTGAATTCTCTCCTAAGACCGAGGTTCAAAATTAAAGTTTTAGAACCGTAAGTACTAATTTGAGTACCATTTGCGGCAAAAAGTTTTAAATTAGTATGCCACGGCTTCAATAAAACTCTTTTAGGTAACAACGATATATCAGCGCCCGTATCGACAAGAAAATTCAAATTTGAATGTCTGTCGAAAATAATGAGGCGATTGTTAGAAACACCGTCGTAAGCAGCTTCAGTCTTAAACGGCGTTTTTAGTTTTCCTGTGAAGCCAAGAATGTTTTGGACATAGAACAAGGTAAAGTACATCGTTTAGCTTTATCACCAAACTTCTTATGGTAAAAGCAAATTGATGTATCTTTAATATCTTTATTTGATTTGTCTTTGTTACGCGATAACGATCTAAATCTTCTATTCTCTCTAGACCGGCTTTTGGAACGATCTCGACGACGAGAAACTTCAAGAGCTTCGATTCTTCGTAATAAATCCGCAAAATCCAAAGATTTATTATTTGCATTATTGGAAACTTCCGCGACTTGCAAACCGCCGTCCCGATCAGCAATTTTATCGGCTAATTCCGCAAGTTTAATAAGAGGAACATCTTCTACTACGGCTAAAGTCGTTTGAATTCTATGTGGTAAGCGTTGAAGCCAAATCATTTGCAAAACACTATCCGCTAAAGATCCTCCAGACAAATGACGAATTTCTCGAAGTAATTCCGAAGGCTTTTTATCATTAAGTTCAATTCCAGCTAATATTTGTCTCAAACGTTTTTCCTCTGAATCCGTAAAGCGATTTATTAATATTTTCTTTAAATAATTATATTTATCTGTTTCAGGTGGATTTTCAATGACTTCAGATATGTTTATTAAGG